AGGCCCATACACACTGATGGGGGCTCTTTATGGGCGGACTTTGCAGGGGGGAGAGACTGCAAGAGATCGGTTGTCTGGGGTATGGGGGAGGGATCAAGGGTGGGGCTGGCCAGGGGGAGGGGGCTGCGGGAGGTTGGCTGGCCAGCCCCACCCCCCTGATCAGGGCCAGTACACTGGCTGCAGTGGGCATCATAACGACCGGTCATTCCAGTTGTTATGGCATTTGGGTTGCTGGCTTTTTATATATATAGATTTTCTATTGGCAGTTGCTTGAATTTGTAGATGCAAAACCCACACATACAGGGCCAAGTGTACTTACTAAAAATTCAAAATTAAAGAATGAAAAATCCAATCTTTACCTGCACATATACATAGTCATAACATACATTACTTCCTTATGTAAGAAACTCACTTTGGCCCTAGCTGGTTTGGCTCAGCGGATAGAGCTTCGGCCTGCGGACCCAGGGGTCCCAGGTTCGATTCAGGTCAGGGACATGTACCTGGGTTGCGGGCACATCCCCAGTAGGGGGCGTCCAAGAGGCAGCTGAATCCATGTTTCTCTCTCATCGATGTTTCTAACTCGCTATCCCTCTCCCTTCCTCTCTGTAAAAAAATCAATAAAATCTATTTAAAAAAAAAACTCACTTTGACATAGTACAGGTGTATGTACAGTATAGTTTTTTTGCTTGTGTTAGATACCTCTTTCGCTTCTTTTAGTGAGAACTGGTATATTTTGCAAAAATGACATTAAACTAAAACTCTGCAAAAGAGCTATAAAGAATAGATTCATTGATCTAGCTTGGTACTCCAATTAGCAAGCTGCTTATTTTCTGAATTCCAACATAATTCATTCCTCACATTGCTTTAATCTACAAACAGCAAAGTAATTTACCTGTTCCAAAAGAACACGTTTCATCCATCTTACTTAAGGCTAATTCTTTTATTTCTTGGAGCATAAAATTATAACATGTTGAGTCATGACAACTGTTCCAAGAAAAGAATCAGTGACAGATATCATTTTTAAGAGTCTGAATTCTTTTGTTCCCTTGTGAAAATGATTCTGTTAAAAAAGTATCCACGAGTCTGTGCATTCAATAGTCTCTGAAACCCCTATTCCAGCAACGAGCTTACATAAATGAATATATGGGCTAGTTATTACAATTCTGTCATAAACCTTCTTCCCAGCCTACCCTAGTATCACAAATTGAGCCAAGATGTTTTAAACAAAAAAAATTACTTTTGATATTGTTCCATAAAAAACAAAGATCTTAATCTAAAAACATCATGTTGCCCTTGGAGGTGTGGCTTAGTGATTAGGGCATCAACACAAGCACTGAAGGGTCAAGGGTTAGATTCCCAGTCAAGGGCATGTACCTGGGTTGCAGGTTCCATCCCTGGCCCAGTAGGGATACATCTGAGAGGCAACCAATTGATGTGTCTCTCTTACATCAATGTTTCTCTTTCTCTCTCTCTCCCCCATCTCTCCTTCCCTCCCTCCCTCCCCTCCACTCTCTCTAAATATCAATGGAGAAAATATCCTGGAGTGAGGATTAACAACAACAACAAAAAATACAATAAGTATACACACACACACACACACACACACACACACACGCAAGGTTTTTGGTTGATCACTTCCCACCCACACACCCTCCCTCATCTTCCTCCTGAAGTTCTACAGTCTGTACTATGCTTCTATGTCTCTAGATCTATTTTTGTTCATCAGTTTATTTTGTTCACTAGAGTCCACATATGAGTGAGATCATGTGATACTTCCCAATATCTTCCTAACAGATCTACTTTTAAGATTTTCCTATCTGTGATAGTCTAAGTCAGCGGTTCTCAACCCCTTTGGCGGTCGAACGACCCTTTCACAGGGGTCGCCTCACAGGGGTCGCCTAAGACCATCTTGCATATCAGATATTTACATTATGATTCATAACAGTAGCAACATTACAGTTAGGAAGTAGCATGGTTGTGTCACAGCATGAGGAACTGTATTTAAAGGGCCAGAAGGTTGAGAACCACTGGTAAGTGCATCCAAAATGACCCAATTTACTGGAATAAAATTAATCCATTAATTCAATTAATACAATAACTAATTCAATAGTTTTTTTATTCTACTTTGAAATAGCTTCTTCAAATATAACTTATAGAATAATGTATACTTACTGTTATTTGCAAGAGTGAGTCCAATAAATGAACAAAGAGGGCGAATTATCTCAGGCATCATACAATTTTTTAGCCAGTCATTAGCATGTGGAAAAAGTGAACAGCAAAGCCTTTGATTTTCATCTGAAAGAAGACAAAGTTAATCATATTTTAATATATTTGGAAAATATAAATTTTCATTTGTTCTTATCTTTATTTTTATATTCATATATTTGAGATAAATACCATTTTGAGGATTGTTGACACAGACACACAGAGTACCACACACTGACGACCACAACTGATAATTCTGGAAAACATTTTTATCTGACAAATTCAACTCATGTTTTGAAAGGACTGCCCTATTAGAGTAAAAAGAAAAGGAAGTAAATTAATAAAAATGTATTAAGGTCTTAAGTAATAACTAATTAGTAAAAAGAAATTTATATTTGCTTACCTGAACAACTCTGACAGAATTTTAAAACAACCTGTTTCTCTCACAAGCGTTTGTCCAGTCCCTAAAGGAATAGCCACATGTTACAGGAATATGATTTTGTTTAGAAGTAACTTGGTAGAAATGGAAAACATTTAAGTAGTATTTTAATAAATAACTTTTAATTACTTTAATAACTTTTAATTAGGTAGATAAAACCTAATCAAGATTATGGGAAATATATTACTTATGCTTATAGCAGTGGTTCCCAACCTTTTTTTGGCCATGCCCCACCTAAGCATCTCTAAAATCCTGATGCCCCCCCCCCACCCCATGACATATAATTCTTATTATTCAAAAAGTGAACTTTGCACGTGGAGGAAGCCTAAAAGGCCATTAACTTAGTCTAAACAAGCTTCCAAAAAACATGGCATCCATGAAAGAGAAAAATAAAAGAATGAAAGGACAATTGAAGTACTGAGGAAGAAATCACTAAAAAATAATAATATGAAGTGATATGAAAAAATAGCAAATAAAGTTTCAAAACATGTAACAGAGACCTGAAATGCATAAATATGTCACAATATATGTTTATATACTGTATATGAGGCCCCTAGAACCATAAGAAATGCAAAAACTCACTGTTAATAACTCATTCTTGAATGGCCCCCCTTAAAAATCAAATTACCCCCCTGTGCAACATGTGCCCCACGTTGGGAACCACTGCTTAGAGAATAACAGCACTCAAATTTCTTCTAAAAATTACAAAACATGTATTTTGCATGGTTATGTGTTACAAAATAAGATGCTCCAAAATATTAAAAAATTCAAAGTACAAAAAATAAAATCTAGAAGCATTTTAAATGATTATAAAATTTCTAACAATTTGAAGATGTAAATAAAGCAATGTTAAAAAATAACCTTGGCCTAAGCAGTAGGTATACAGGATCATGCTAATTATTCCAAAATAAAAACTGAAAAACAAAACAAAAACTTTAGCCAAGAGCTACATGAAATTTAAGGTCATTGCTGACTGAAAGCAAACACTAACTAAATGGCCAATTTAGTGATATACCAACCAAACTAATTCATTAAATGCCTCTCTTTTGCTTTCAAAGCTGTTTTTTTTATGTTAATTAAATATACAAGTCACTTTACTATTTGTTAAAATTAATAAATATCGAACAATTAAATGCATGCTATTAATTCTCTTTTCTTAAAGATAGTAGTTCTCATAAGTTAGTAAGAACAAACGACATTGATGTAAGGACTAGAATAAAAGGATTAATAATAATTATCCCAACTTATTGTTTTTAAAAACTGTTTCTACAACATAAAAGAAGGTACTTACTATTATTTGAAACTAGAACCAAAATAACATAGACAGACATTCTTTTCAAATTTGTGTTTGAGTCATTATTAGATAAGAACCAAATTAAGTCTTCAAACAATTCTGAAGTGCACAAAGTCTGCTGACAATAAACTGAAATATAAAAATACAATTTTAATTTCTCTGCATAGTACAAATCAAATATCATTTCATTGACATTTATTGATCATATAACAAAATCTCTGACAAACTGATATATGCTTATTAAATTAGCAGACCAAAGAAGCAATATCTTAATCAAAAGTACTTAATCTAGGCTCTAAAAAATGTGCCACAACCCCCTAGAATTTCCAATAAAAATCTAACTGAATAAAAACTTAAAATATGACACACACAGCCCCATACAGTCTGGTTCAGTGGATAGAGCCTGCAGACTGAAGGGTCCCGTGTTCGGTTCTAGTCAAGAGCACGCACCTTGGTTGCAGGCTTGATCCCTAGTAGGCAACCGATTGATGTATCTCTCTCACATCGATGTTTCTCTCTCTGTCTCTCTCCCTCCCATCCACTCTCTAAAAATCAATGGGAAAAATATCCTTGGGTGAGAATTAACAACAACAAAAAATATGACACACACAAAATTTAAGAGGATGAGTAAGTAACAAAAACATAGCAAGGGAAAAATTTAAGAAAATTCAGAAACCTGCTTTAGAAAGCAGAGGAAGAAATGATACTTGTGCTATTTTTTGATTTTTTTAGAAATAAAAATATCTTTCCAAAAAATGATACTTACATGATAGTAGGAATTTTGTGATAATCATACAATAAACAGATTTTAAAAAAATAATTTGAATACATGGATGGATATATAATCAATATTTTATCCAGTGTCTAAAACCAGCTATTAGACTCTTTCTAAAGGCAAGGATAATGTCTTATCTATCCCCAATGCCTAGCACACAGCTTAATTCTTAGCAAGTAATGAATATTTAATGGATAAAAATATCTATATATATAAAAGGCTAATATGCAAAGTGTCCTCTAGAAAGTTTGACTGGGAGACCAGTAGTTCGATCACTCGCTATGACGTGCGCTGACCACCAGGGGGTGGCATGGAACAAAACAAGGTCCCAGCTGGCAGCTGGGAAAGGAAGGCCCAGTCTGGCAGTCAGAAGGCCCTGATTGACCCTGATCCCGGCCAGGCCTAGGGACCTACCCGTGCACAAATTTCATGCACTGGGCCTCCAGTAAGAATATAAAGTTGTTTAACAAATCAGTGGTTTATATTCAAACTCGTTTCAGAAAAATTGTATGAATTTGTATACCTAGAGCATATTTATCCATATATAAGATGGTGGTAGGTTATCTTCATCTTTTGATTCAATGAACAAAATAGGAAAATCAGTTATAGACCCACTGCATATAAAAATTCATTAAGTGATTGATGATGGTACTATCTCAAATCAATATGAAAAAAGTCTACTTTTTAATAAGAAGTATTAGGATAGCTGGGTTGCCATTTTAAAAAAAGGTAAAACTGGAGCTATTCATCACACCATAACTCAGAAAATATTTAAAAGAATAAAAAATGTAGAAGTGAAATAACCATACAAGTACCAACAGAAAATGTGGGTAGATTCCCTATAAGCTGGGACTATGGAAAACTTTTCTATGGCTCAAAATACAAAATAAAATGGGAAAGAAGGATGAATTTTATTTTCATAAAAAAACAAACAAAAAAAAACTTATACATGGTAGTAAAAAATAAAGTAAAAATAAATGTTTCCAACTAATGCCAAGGAGAATTCTGAAAGATTTTGAATGGACAAAATTATTACTGAATGTCCCATCTAGTGCACCCTTCTATATTATCTGTGTCTTTCACTGTCTTTGAGCTATTTCCCAATTCTGTAAATTATTTTTTTAAAATCTGATAGTAATGCAAATTACTCCTGCCAACAGAAATGCAAAACATTTAGACATTAGAATGCAATTAATTATTGCCCTGCAGATATTGACCAATTAAGTGCCTATTTATAAGTCTATTTCAGCATTCTTAAATGCCTATATTGGTTTTTGCCATTGCCTTTAAAACACTTGTGACATTTTATTGATTCCTTCATTAGTTAATAAATTAAATATAATCTTTGGCATACATTAATTAATTAATATTTTAAAATATATTTTTATTGATTTCAGAGAGGAAGGGAGAGGGAGAGAAAGAAAGAAACATCAATGATGAAAGAGAATCATTGGCTGCCTCCTGCACGCCCCCCACTGGGGATCAAGCCTGCAACCCAGGTATGTGCCCTTGACCAGAATCAAACCCAGGACCCTTGAGTTCACAGGCCAACCACTGAGGCTCTATCCTCTGAGCCAAACTGGCTAGGGCTGGCATACATTAATTTAAGTAAATAAATAAAATACCTGGATAAAACTATCCAGCCACATACAAAGGACATTTAATTCTACAATTATTTTTAGTAGTTTATTAACGTATAACACAATGCTTGAAGGATAATGAAAAAAAGTTCTTATATTTTACCATTTTTTTCTGCAACAGTTCCTAATGTATACAAGGCTGCTTCTTTTACCATGCTATGTTCACTTGACTTTGCAAGATTTTTTACAAACATCAAACCACCAATTTCCCGAAAATATACACCTGCATCACCTGTAGGATGTGCAGACAAAACAAAATAGAAATCTTATTATGATTATTCTTTTAAGAATAAAATAAATCATAACAAACATCGTAACAAAACATGTAGAGCAACTGAGTGGAAGAAAAAGAGCTATGCATATTTCATATGTCACAATACTAAAGAACTAGAATCATAGATAAAATTCACTATCATGTCTTACTGTTTTGTTGGCAGATTGAATGAATAGTGACCAAAGCTTCCTTTTGTGACAAAGGGTTGTCCATTTGATACTTCAGACACTCCAATAATAAGTTCAGGTCAGTCTTCATTTCTAAAGAACAAGAATTTCATTATTTTAACCAAATCTTTCTTTTAAAAAAGTAACCATTGAAATTTCATTTTCTAAATATATATCATTATAATGTTCGCTTTTTAAAAATAAGTATGTGTTACTTTTATAGTCTAACAAATAATAAAGACATATAAAACAATTATGTTCCTTAAATAAAAGAACTTAAAATTATTTGCTCTTCCCCTTTCATGAAATATAGGAATAGAAAATCCAAATATTATTCTCTTTAAAGCTACACTGTTTTAAATATCTGCCATTTAGACATAAACTAAATAAAAATGAAAATATGACATTAGAATTTGTGGGATACTACTAAAGCCTGTCTTACAAAAAAAGGTCTCAAAGTAATGATCTTGCTTCTACCTTAAGAAACTAGAAGAAGAGTAAATTAAACCCTAAGCAAATAGAAGGAAAGAATTTATAAAGATTAAAGCTGAAATTAATGAGATAGAAAAGAGAAAAACAATAGAGCTGATTCTTTGATTAGATTAATAAAACTGAAAAACCTTTACACAAACTGATCAGGAATGAAGGAGAAAAGACACAAATTACCAATATCAGAATGGGAGAGATGGCATCACCATAGAGTCTACAGATAATAATGGTTATGTACAACTTCATACCTATATGACTTAGGTGAAATGGACAAATTGCTTGAAAAACACAAATTACTAAAACTCACCCAAGAAGAAACAGATAACCTAAATAATCATACCTCTGAAGGAAATTAAAACCAATGTTAAAAACCTTTCTGTAAAAACAACAACAACCACCCTCCAGCCCTAGCTGGTTTGGTTCAGTGGATACAGCATCAGCCTGTTGACTGAAGGGTTCCAGGTTCGATTCCAGTCAAGGGCACATGCCCAGGTTGCAGACTTGATCCCCAGTGTTGGGTGTTCAGGAGGCAGCTGATCAATGATTCTCTCTCATCATTGATGTTTCTCTCTCTCTCTCCTCCCATTCTCTCTGAGATCAATAAAAAAATATTTTTTAAAAAACCCTCCAGGTTCAATTCAGATGACTTCATTTGTAAATTCTTCCAAATATTTAAGGAAGAAATAATATTGATTCTACACAAACTATGGACATTTGACACTGGGCTTTCAAACAATCTTTCTCACAAAGCATTCTTCTAATGTCATCTGGCTATCATCTAAAAGACCTAACATTTCTCAATACCTAAACTATATCAGCTATGCTAGCTTATAGGAACTAAAGAGGATTCCTGACCGCAAAATGAAGAGGGCTGAGTGCAAAGACCAAACTGGTATGGGGCATCATGTGCAAAAACAGGCCATGCACAAAAGGGCCAAGTACAATAGAAGAATAACTATCCATGCCTAAAAAAGAATTTAATCACCCCATGCCACAGCCTATAAATACAGAAGGCTCCTTCCCAGTTGGAGGGAAAGTGCCATTTGAGCATGAGCTCACCCTTTCCATTCCTTGATCAAAGAATAAAGTTTCTCCTCTGCTTTACCAAACTAGATCTTGCTCTATTGGTGCAAACAGTACTGGGCAGGACTCTGATTTGGGTCCCAGGACCTGAAGGGTCGATAACACTAAGGCTGATTTCCAAAATACCACATTACATTCCTGACTCTCCACCTTTCTGAAATGTTTTTCTCAGTCTTTGGCCAAATCCTTATGTGATGGTGTGCATTAAGAGGAACACTATTCCCCATTCTTTTCTCTTTTAATATTTTCTCTCTGGTAATTTCCTCCATGCCCATGGATTTAATTTTTATTATACTGAGGATCAGTCTGAAATCTTCCGGGCATACTTTGATGGTAGTTCTCTGAGGCTCCCAACTCTTCTTGTATTTACCTCCATTAAATCAACTTTCATAATTAAAAGCGTTCTAATTATCAGTGTATCTTTTCCTATTAGAATGTCAGTTTCCTGAGTGAGTGTGATAGGCACAGAGTAGGTGCTTGATAAATATTTATGTAAATTGCTGAATTATTCATTTTCTGGATCCTATCAGATAATCTGCAGTATTACCCACAAATATATAAAACTAGTTCCAGACATATGATCCATGAATTTCTCACCTTGTGTTTTCTTTGTGTCCTCACTTTCCATGCTTGTCTGTTTTTTTTCCCTCCTTATATTTCACCTATAAGATAAAGGTATTTTTCTCCATTTAAATCAATGTTTAAAATATACAGATTAGCCCTGAGGCTCAGCCAGTTGAGCATCATCCCCTGCACAGGGAGGTTGCAGGCTTGATCCTGGTCAGGGCACATGCCCAGGTTGCAGGCTTGATCCCCGGTTGGGGGCATGCAGGAGGCAGCCGATTGATGTTTCTCTCTCTCCCCCTCCCTTCCTTCCTCTGTTTCTAAAATCAATAAAAACATATTTTAAAAAAAGAAATATACAGCCCTAGCTGGCTTGGCTCAGTGGGTAGAGTTGGCCTGTGGACTGAAGGGTCATGGGTTTGATTCTGGTCAAGGGCATATGCCTGGTATGCGGGCTAAATCCCCAGTCGGTGGTGTGTGTGTGTGTAGGAGGCAGCCAATCAATGATTCTCTCTCATCACTGATGTTTCTCTCTCTCCCTCTCTCTTCCTCTCTGAAATCAGTAAAAATATATTTTAAAAAAGAAATATACAGATGATGTATTATAGAATTGTACACTTGAAACCAATATAATTTTATTAACCAATATCACCCCAATACACTTAATTAAAAATTCTTTTTAAAAAATACAACAAAACATTTCCTTCACATAAAGAAATAAATGGATGGATGAACATTTGAGAATTCCAGGATTATAAATGCAAAGGGACAATGAAGGAATAGTTTTCCTGAAGCCAGAAGAGCAGAGATTGAGTCTACAAATTATTAGATGTGTGATACAAAGTGTGCTTTAGTTCTCTGAGACTCAGTTTCCTCATCTGTAAAATGGGAAATTCCTACTTCATAGAGTTGTTACAAGAATTATATGTGAAAATACTAAAAAATGCAGCTGGCATTCTTAAGTACCACAGGCATTCAACACATTCTATTAAACGAACACACAAGCCCTAGCCAGTTTGGCTCAGTGGATAGAGCATTGGCCTGCAGACTGAAGGGTCCTGGGTTCAATTCCCGTCAAGGGCAAATGCCCGGGTTGCTGGCTCAGGGGCATACATGGCACTTGATCCCCAGGAGAGGGTGTGCAGCAGGCAGCCAATGATACACTATCGTTGATGTTTCTACCTCTCTCCCTTCCTCTCTGAATCAATAAAAATAAATAAACACAAATAGCTGGTTAACTAAACCTAACTAGTCCTCTTCAAGTCCTTCTTATTGTCTTTCCTATAAATTTTCATCCATTCCTTTCAGATTGGACATCCCTTCATGAATCAGAAGTTTAACACAGACACAGTCATTAGAATTGCATTTCTCGTCATAAGCTAAGCTTAATAGTAAAAATTTTTCTAACAACCCATGGTTTGTTCAAGATAGTATTCCACTATTAACTTACATCTTTGTTTATATATTATTTGTTAGAATAATTTTTAAAATAACCAGCAGCCCTGATATGACTGACCTCTTATATGTTTTATTTTTAAATGCTAAGCTAATTTTTTAGAAAATTTTTACAGAGAGGAAGGGAGAGAGATAGAGAGTTAGAAACATCGATGAGAGAGAAACATCGATCAGCTGCCTCTTGCACATCTCCCACTGGGGATGTGCCCACAACCCAGGTACATGCCCTTGACCGGAATCGAACCTGGGACCT